TAAAAATTATTTTTAAATTTTCAAATTAATAAGAAAACTATATTAAATTTAGTTTACTTTTTTACAAAAAAAATATATTACTATATATTTTAGAATGATATGTGTTGCGAAACTCTGCCGAAAACCCTTAGCCCCAAATTCCTTCGCCTTCGTTTCCTTCAATTCGCATCTGTAGGCCTTCCATAATAGCCATCGAGCTTCGCCGGCGGTCTTCGGCCCTTGGCTGTTTGGTTTCCGCCCCCAATTTTCCGCTCTTCTTCCGCGTTCAATGGAGTCGGGCTTCGCCTCTTGCGACTGGTCGTCGCTATTTCAAGCGTCGACGCGTCAATTCCGGGCGGTGGCTTCTCTGTTGGGTGGCGGTGCAGCCGTAGCGCTGTTCTCGGGGCGGGACGCGTCTCAATTGCTCGGCTTCTTTCTTGGTCAGGCGATTGGGGCGTCGTTGATGTTCGAGGTCGTCTCCCCCCTGTCCTCGGCGTTGAATTGCAGGGGTCATCGTGTTCCTTCTTCTGCCAGTGGTGTTGGCTGGAGTAGCGATGCGACGGTGCGGTGGCCTTGGTCAGATTCCAAGCGGTTCGGGGTTGGGTGTTGCGGCCGCGGCACCCTTTTGCCCGTCCGGGGCATTCTGGTGTGGTGGTCGTGGAGTGGAGTGGCTTGGTGCTATTCAGGGGTTAGGGTTTCGGCTCCGTTAGGCAACCGAGTGGTTTGGGCAGCTTCGGGGTCGACTCTTCTGGCTACGGGATTCTCAGTTGCTTCGTTTCCGCTGGTTCGGTTTGATGTAGCTTCTTTGGAAGGGCATGTTTATTTTGTTGATGTTGTTTTGTTTGTTTGGTAGTTTCGAGCATGTTTGTCTATAGAACTTTTTGGTTTTGTTTGGATTTTTTTGTTTGGTTTGGTTAATTTTGAAAAATGTAGTATGATTAGTTGTTAGTGGATATTAAAATATTATTTAAAATAAAATAATTAAAATGATTTGATGAAAAAGTAGGAGAGATATGGTTTGATGTGATGGTTAGTTAAAATAATGTGAGTGAATGAATAGTGAATTAAGGTTGATGTGGTGTGTATGAATGATTGATTGATATTATTTAATTATATTGATAATATTGATGATAGTGGGGTTGAGTTAAAATTGAGTTAAAAAAAGTGGTTGAGTTAAAATGTTAAAAAAAAGGGATTCAATGCAGATTTTGATGGGGAAAATTTTCATAAACAAACATACTCTTCGTGTTTCTGTTCTTTTGTTTTGTCTATTTGTTTCGTTAGGTCTCGTGTTTTTAGTTTGGGCCGTTGGCCTTAGTGATGATTCTCCTGTTGGGAGCTTCGTAGTTATTTTGGTAGTTTTTGTTTGTGTTTTGTTTAGGAATTCTAGCGTTGCTAGTATCGGATTTAGGCGGTCTTCAGACCAGTCCTCCCAGTTTATTCAGCTTTTGGTTGCGGCTCTAAGTTGTAATTTGCACATTTGTGCGGTTTAATCTGTAAAATTCTCTGTCGTTTCGGGGAAAAAAAAGAATGATATGTGTTACTTATGACTTACATGTGTTATATTATATTTGTTTTTATAACTTATATCATATAACTACTTGAAATATAAATATATTAGTTGATAAATAATTTTATTTTTCTAATTAATATTAAAAATAATTTTATTATTGTTATAAAGATAAATATAAATTATTTTTCTTATACATACAATATGGATGTTAAATCGAAGCTCATCAAAAGAAGATTAAAAAGTTATTAACTTTTAAAATATATATATAATTTAATAGTTATAACAAGGAATGATATTAAAATACAATTAATACATGTAACATGACCATAAATAATCAACATATTTATGGTGATCCGATACTAATTATTTTTGGTTTGGAATTAAATTAAAATTTACCCAAGCCTAATAACGAAGCACGTAATTTTGCCACATAGGATTCTGAAGCACCAGAAGCAGCCACGTAGGCTCAGCGCGTTCTGTATTAATATATAGGGGGGAGGGGGGATAATATATATAAATTTATTCATTTTATAAATACAATAACAATGTCAAATCGAAGCTCACAAGGGATGTTTAATTTGATATATTGTATATATATATATATAATTAATAAAAAATACAAAAGTTACTAACTTTTAAATTATATTTACAATTCAACGGTTATAATAGAAAACTAGTACAACGCCCGTGTATTACACGGGTGCTTGCTAATTTTTTCTTAAAATCTAAAATTAATGAGAAAAAAGTAGTTGAAATTTTAAGAATCTTTTATAAATATATATATATATATATATTTAGTATGATTTTTGCAACTTACCTGTATCATATTATAATAATTATAATAATTTTTTTAACTTACAACATATAACTATATTAAACATAAATATATCAATTGAGAAATATTTTTATTTTTCTAATGATTTTTAATAAATATTGTTATTTTTATAATTATAAAGATAATATAATTTATTTATTTCATATATACAATATGGGTGTCAAATCAAAGATCATCAAAAGATGATTAATTTGATATATTATATATATAAATAGATAAGGAATACAAAAGTTATCAACTTTTAAAATACATTTACAAGTCAATAACTTATTAAAGGAAACAAATCAAAAGTCAGAGATATATTAGTCACTTAGTGCCTCACTATGTAAAATTATAAAGAATAGGATTATAATAGTACAAGTGATATTAAAATACCTAAGTTAGCCAGTGACGGAGCTAGGATTTTTAACTCAAGGGGGCCCGATTTTAAGTGTTAAATCAGGAGTTTGTAGTTTACGTAGACACGCTCATTTCATATAAAGTTGTGTTTACTTATAATTATAGATATTAATATTTGTACCTTCAAGTTTTTATAAGAACTTAGAACCGTATCACCATCAAACTTTTTTTTAAGAAAAAAATGAGATTTCGTGTATTAATAATTTAAGTTTAAGATCTATAATTTATGAAAAATAAGTTTTTTTTTGTTCAAAATTTAATTTAATTTGAACACATTGCATATATTTTTTGTTGATTAGAGCTTATCAAATGACCATTTTTTTTAATAAAAATTAAATAAAGTTGTATGTGATTACATAAAAAATAATAAAGTAAAAAATCAATATTCAAATATACAATCGATTAACATTCAAAAATCTAACAATCCAACTAAATTCTAAGTTTTATAAATCAATAAATCGAAATTACAATTAAAAGGCCGAAATAGTTAAATTATTATAAATAATTTCAAAAACTTATCCAAAAATGTAAAATATAATTATTGTTAGTATATAGTTTTCAATAAATAATAATATTATTTACTTTAAAATAAAATAACATTAAGGATAAGTTTAAATTATTTATATATTCTACATATTTTTTTACATTTTTATTCAATTTTATAGTATATATATATATATATATATATATATATATATATAATAGTTTTAAGAAAAAACTTAGGGGGGCCCACGGGCCCCCTGGGCCTAATACAAGTCCGTCCTTGAAGTTAGCTAGATAATATTTATGGAATGTCCGAACCTAGAGTATTAATTATTATTATATCAATATTATTTGTCCAAACCTAATTACGAAGCATGATTCTTCGCCAAGTAGGATTCCGAAGCAGCAGAAGCAGTCACGTAGGCTCAGCGCATTCGGGAATTATATATAGGGAGGATTATATTAAAATAAAATTAATATATGTAAAATGACTATAAATAATTAATATATTTTTTGACAATGTGGACCTAGTTAACTATTTTTAGATTGAAAGTAAATTAATATTTTTGCAAGCCCAATAATGAAATATGCAATTTTGCCACATAAATTTCAAGAACACGAGTCTGCACTTAGACTGAACACATTCGGTAATTATAGATGATGAGATATTAACCTTGTTGCTTGTGGTGAAGTTCAAGAAGACAAAAGCCAATAAACTACATACATTCGATAAAAAGGTAAAAACAAAAGAAGAGGAAATAAAAAGAGTTTGGAAAAAATGGAGAATGTATCACGAAACTTCCTCTTTTATGTGGCTTAAGTATGTAACAGACAAAGACGCGGCGGCCTGAGCACGCGAACTATTTAATGATCAGATTAAAATAATTATCTCCAATTTTAATCACTTTTTAGTCTTTTTTTTTTTTCGTTTAAAAATGAAGTTTAAGATTAAAAAAAAATGTGTTAATTACTTTTTACTATTTACTTTTGACATACTGTGATTATTAATGGGAGACTCTGAAATCAACGGACCGAAAAACCCGAATCTTTGCAGGATATTCCGGGTCGTCAACGGGTCAACCCTTGCTGCCTACATATGATTTGCTATTTTGCTAATCTATATATATATTAAAAGCCAAACTATTTACCAAAAACAGTAATAAGAAAAGTCAACACACATTTAATGCATACTTTATTTGGAAATTTTTTACTATATGCATTAAATGGTTGCATAATTACATTTACTATCCAAATATGATCTTCAAGATTTTTTCCTTAAATAATTTATGCAATGATTTTACTGATATCCATTATAATTAATATTTGTCGAGTAATATTTTTTAACCTTTATTTAATTATATAAAAATAATATTTTTTTAAAAAAATAATATTATTTATTATTTAAAAGATAATCACATCATTAAATGATTTTATTGATGGTTAGACAATAAAATTATAGTTATTCTTTAAAATTTTGACATGTTATTTA